GAAGTCACCAGAACGCCTAGTTTCAGCATTCAAAGTCGCCTCTACATTTATCCTGCTTCTCACCTCTGAGTTTATCCCGGTTCCTCCTTCAACCCTTGCCTTCAAAACACTCCTGAGCTTACAACCGTTGCTATGTCTCCAGCATCTTCCCAAGGAAGCTTCTGTCCCCAGCAGTGTGTCTGACGTACCTGTTAAATGCCATTTAGTAATCGCAAATCACCAAGTATCTTTAGCCGGCGTCAGTGAAATTGATTGAGTGTCATCTACAAGGTGAGATTTTGGAAGAATCACCAGGTGATCGGCACCTGACACTTCAGCCCCTGAAAAATCCCTGTGGAATCTGTTCTACTCTGACTTGTGGTGTCTCCAGGATGAGGAAGTGGAGGGCAGTGGGTTCATTTTGACTTAGAATAATCTGTCTTAGCTGTGGTGGCCTACTGGCAAGAAGCTGCACTGCAGTCCATTAGAGGCGAACGGTTCCAATCCACCTGATGCTCTGCTGGAGAAGGAGGGACAGTCTCCTCCTGTGCCGGTCGGATCTGATTTGACAGGACACACACACAAAATCATAAAAAAAGTAATAAAATGATCTATTTTTGGATTAGCCTGTTGGCCAAGCCCCATTTTGGCCAAAGGAAGTGAGGAAGTGATAAGTCTAGGAAAACGAAAGTGTTAAACACTGCAGCAGAAGCAGGAGAGGTGGTGGGTTTTATTGGACACTGTGTTGAGCAGTTGAGCAGAGCCTCTGGGCGGTGGGCGTAAGCCGCCAGCATTGCTCTGTGCAGGCAGCCCTGGTGGTGTCATCTGTATGAACTTGCACTGTCAAAACAGAGGCCTCAACCCTGCGTGTCCTCCACAGAGAGAGTCAGAGGAAGAAAGTGGTTTCCTGTGCGGTGCCTATTGCCAGTTCTCTGAAGACCTTTGACACAGAGGGTATAGCTGACCACATGTCCACCTATGACTTGGCGCGGTTACTCCATACTCAGGACATAGGGTCAGCTATTCCTGTGGTTTCCTCATGAGTTTTACCTTTCCGTCCTGTCCTGTGGACATAGGGTCTGGTGTTCTCTCACGAGTTATATCTTTCTGTCCTGTCGTGTGGACATAGGGTCTGGTATTCGTGGCGTTCTCGCTCGAGTTTCATCTTTCTGTCCTGTCCTGTGGACATAGGTCTGGTGTTCCTGTGGTTCCCTTGTGAATTTTACCTTTCTGTCCTGTCCTCTGGACATAGTGTCTGGCGTTCTCACTCAAGTTTCATCTTTCTGTCCTGTCCTGTGGACATAGGTCTGGTATCCGTGGCGTTCTCGCTCGAGTTTCATCTTTCTGTCCTGTGGACATAGGGTCTGGTATCCGTGGCGTTCTCGCTCGAGTTATATCCTTCTGTCCTGTCCTGTGGACATAGGTCTGGTATCCGTGGCGTTCTCGCTCGAGTTTCATCTTTCTGTCCTGTGGACATAGGGTCTGGTATCCGTGGCGTTCTCGCTCGAGTTATATCCTTCTGTCCTGTCCTGTGGACATAGGTCTGGTATCCGTGGCGTTCTCGCTCGAGTTTCATCTTTCTGTCCTGTGGACATAGGGTCTGGTATCCGTGGCGTTCTCGCTCGAGTTATATCCTTCTGTCCTGTCCTGTGGACATAGGTGTGGTATTCCTGGAATTCTCTTGCTCGAGTTTTATCTTTCTGTCGTGCATTTTTCCCTGATTGAGGCGCAGGCGGGCTTGGGTTGCAGTGCAGAGTCTGAGGAGGCCGCTGCGTGTGTCCTGCGAGTGTTCAGTGTGTCCCACAGGCCGTGGCCTTTTCACCACGAGCCGCTGCCCCCGCTTCGCGGCCTCGTCTTCTCACTGTGTGGAGTGGCCCTGTGTGCGTCTTGGGCATCGCGGACCAGCAGGTGAGTGTGTGCGGACGGAGGATGAGGGTGGTGGTCCGTGCCTGCGTGCACATCCAGGCAGTGTCTCCTCCACTCAGGGCCTCTTTCTGCTGCGGAGCTCAGTCCGTGTGCGTGTGGGCTCTGCTCCCGCCTACACACGGCTGTGTCTCTGCGTCGTCCGTCCTGGTGGCCACGCAGGCACTATGTCTGTGCAGGCCCCTGTCGCTGGTCCTCAACCTCCGGTCCTCCCTGCTCCGTAAGCGGGTGCATGGAGCGAGGGCAGGAGGGCTGGATGGTCTGCTCTGGGCTTCCCACCTTCCTCCTGCTGCGAGTCCGTGCACGGGCCTGGGAGGCAGGAGAGGAGAGAGGCTGTACACAACTCTGCCACTCCTCTGCAAACTCCCTGTCCTTCTGAGGCTCGCTGCAAGGAACATTCATTGTCTAGATGAAACTTTTCATCGCTTTCCATTTAACAGATACTATCTTCATTTTATCGCACTTCCTCTATACATAAATTGGCTCTTCTCTGATTTCTGTCTTTCGTCGGGGGAGTTGCATCTTTTTGGAGAATGGCTAGTTTTTTTAACAAAATCACTTTTTTCTGAGGAATCTGATTGCCCTTGTTGGATGATGATGTCTCTCAATGACATGTACAAAGTGTACTGTGGACCGCGTTTATTCCATTTGCAGAGTGAAAAGAATCACAAAGAATTCTGTTATGAGCTATTTCACGCTCAGGGGGACCCTTTGAAGAAACACTATGTCCAGGTGCAGCTGTTGCCAGGGGTCATTTAGGACATGAGCCGCGCATGGAGGTGACAAACCCCCTGAGTAAACTGAGCTGCATCTCATCTAGGCGATGAAAATACACATCAAACAGTCAAAGACTTCTCCTAGTGCAGATTATGCATCGTACCAGCAACAAAGGACTGGTACAGAGTGTTGCAAAAGAGTGTGCAAAAATGCACAGCAAAAGGAAATTAATCAGGGTGTTTTAGGAATGTCCAGAGTCATCCATACTGCCTTGTTATTAGAATCAAGAAGAGAGAAAAAAATTGATCTTACTTACTGAAAGGTCACCTCACACATTTTGTTCTAATGTAAATAAGCCTGTTTCTCTTTTCTTAATACAGAACTGAGATTATATAATCACCTTAACATTCATTGACAAACTGCATGACAAAAATAAATTCTGGATCCATTTAGGAAAGCCTTTGTGTGAAATCTTTGAACTAACCATTTTCCTCTCGACATCCTGTCAGAGCCACAGAGCTCTGACAAGCATAAAAAATTAAAAAAAAATAAAATAAAGCCTCCGTAATAAACAGTAATAAAGTGTTAACGGCAACTCTCTTTATCTCTGCAAAACCTGTTGGACTTCTCTTTCCCAAGACCCATGATTTGCTCCCTTATTTTGTACCAAGCACCCTCCTCACTTTCAATGGCCTTGAGAGACAAGATAAACCCCCACTGTGACGTTGAGGAGGTGCTGATATCTACCTCTGCTTTGGAGGCAGCCTGCCACTTTCTCCTCAAGCAACTCTATTTCTTGGCCTTAACTGGGTCTTGGGCTTCATTTTTTATTCCCAATACCTGAAAGGGACACCTGTGAATAGAAAATCATAATTCCCTATCTCTCTCTCTCTCTCAGTGTACCCTGTCCCTCTCTTTCTGGGCCTTAAAGCACTTAGGAAGTCCTGAATCATCCTAATTCTTTTTCACTCCTCAAGGGGCTGACTCCACCTTCTTACTGCCCCTCTTGGAACTACAGACCGGTCACTCTTCCCTGAGGCTCTCAGCCTCTGGCCCATTGCAGGGCTTCCAAACAAAACCAGACCAATTTAGGCTGAGTGGTGCAACTTCTCTCTTGGTTCTGCCGCTCTCTTTGCACTAATAATACGAGGCCAGGCGGATCCTGAAGGCCCTAAGCAGACCTACTTCTTGTGAGGACAAACGTCAATTAAATAACAGATGCCTTATTCCCTGGAGAGAGAGTGAGTGAGTGTGAGTGTGAGTGTGTGTATGTGTGTGTGTGTGTGTTTTCCTCCCTCTCTTTCTCCGTCTCGCTCCCCCCACCGCGGACAGCCAGTCCTGCCCTTCCCAGAACTGTCCTTTGTAGTGTCTCCTCCTCTTCCTCGACTCCTTTCATTGGGCGACATCACTAAACCCATAAGACTTGTATTATTTTGTCACGCAGCCTGACCACAGTATCAGTTAGGTCTCGGATCTCAACGGTCGGAAAACAGGACACCCCGTTTCATCGCTTTCAGACATCTCCACAAAGTCTGCTGACAGAGTGGCAAGGTGGTGTCGTGCAGGACAAAAGAAGGAGACCGCAACACCAAGAAATGACGGTGAGAACAGAGAGAGTCAGGGCAATAGACGTACAGATCCAAGCCTGCGGCCTCGACTTTAGAGTCTCTCCTGCCTTTTTTGAAAATTGAGAAGTCACAGGGAAAATTGTTGCCTAATAGGCTCCGTTTTCCTCTGTTAGCCATCATTTTGTTGTTCAGGAAGACAGTGGGGAACCAGAAAAAGGTTGAGAGGAGCTGGGGTCCCCCAGGGCTGCCCCAGCACCTGTCTCAAAAGAAATACCACCTTGTTTCGTGCCTTCTTCAGCTCCTCATTAAGCATTTGGTTTCATATTTGATTAAAGACCTGTTTTCCCACAGCAAGTGGACTAAAATCTCTCCTGCATTCAGGCCTTCTTTGCTCTTGTCCTTTTCTCTGTCAGAATTTCTCTACCCATCAGAGCCTTCTAGCGCGCTCCAAGCCTTCTTCCCCCCCCCCGACTCAGAAACCCAGAGAAAGGGACCAGAATTTCTCTACCCTTCAAATCTTCTAGCTCACTCCAAGCCTTCTGCTCACTCAGAAAGGCATAGAAAATGAAAGGACACTTTTCTCTTGACAATTACCTACTTTCCCGGCCCTCTTAGGCTAACTTTCTTAATGTTTGGCCCTTGCCT